AGGAATGGATTTAGCGATCATGGATTTACTCCTCACTAGACAGCAGTAGCAAACGTGTGCCTTTATTACCATGGAAGAGGTCACCAATTACTGTGAAGCCTCTGCACAAATTGTTATGTACTGGAGCCAACAATAATTACTGTACTCCAGGTTCAGTTTGACTGTAGTGTTCTCTGTGGCAAAAAAAAACTACATGTGACTGTCATGTAGAAGTTTGACTGAACTGCTGGAACAAGCTTTAAAAAAAGTCAGGCAACCACATTTCAGAAGCAGGTTATGATGGAGAACCTTGTGCAGTAGAAGTTGTATGACTGTTATACAACACATGCTGGGACTGTATCCAAAACATTTGGTGTTACCCTCTGACAATTGTCAGTTTAACTTAAAGTGGTAGTAATCCCTTACATATACCCAGAGAAGTGACTGGCCTCAGGTGATACACAGAGATGAAACACATCCTCCCACATAGGTTGTACCTGTTTATCTGCAGTCTTCTCTTCTCTACATCTGTTTAAAGTGCTGAATTTGTAAAGCTTGTCTGAGAGTTCAGAAAAAAGGGGGCGGAGAGCTAAAGTTACTCTCTACAGAGCTCACTGAGGATAGCTCTGAGAGCTGATTGGAGGGAAGAGACACACCCCCTCCACACAGCTCACAGGAACAGAGCTGAGGCTGTCACTCTGCTGGAGGTCCCTCCCCTGTCAGAATTTTTTCTTTTGGTGTCAGGAAAAATTCCCAAAGTGACTCCTACAGATATGAGTTGAATTTGCCCCCTGAGCTAGCTGTGGTCCCTTGAACTTTCCTATTAGTCCTGTAATAAACATGACCTGTAGAAGTTGTGTCAAAATAAAAAAAGAATAAACAGCAAAGGGCAAAGGAATAGCCATCAGTGTGTGGTCTCCCTGCAGCTGATATTTTCCCCAGGCCTGACTTACAAGGCTTATGCCTTTATTATGAGGTGACCATCTTCATAGAGGTCCTCATGTCTAAGCTGCCCCCCTCATTACTGGGGATCTAATGACTGATGGAAGAATAATTAAGCATCAGCAGCAGAGGTTCCGAAAGCACAGATCCACAGAATGAATTAAAAAAGAGAGTGATGCAAGCAATGCAGCTTTTTCTCCAGCAAGGTGATAAGGGAGCAGCACAGCAGTTATATCACAAACTCTTACTCTGAATTTGGAGAGACAAATAGGCATAAAGTAGCTTAGAGCTCACACTGCAGATATACAGCTAGACCTAGGAGGCTACTGAACAGGATTGCCCAGGCAAAGGAAGTGCACTGATATTTTGTATGAAGGATGTAAGGAAAAATTAAACATTTTCAACCACTTACTGTCTAGATGTTCCTTCTAACACAGCACTTCATCACAGGGCCAGATCCAGCCTGTCTGATGTGGGGGTGCAATAAAAAAATGTCAGGGGGGCAGAGGATGCAAGGTCAGCAGGGAAGTGTATTGGAATCAGTAGGGCAGTGGATAGGGCTAACATTAGTGGGCAAGTGTACAGTGGGTTATCAAGGTAGTATACAGGGTTGGCAGGGCAGAGGATGGGGTCAGCAGGGCAGTATACAGGGGGTCAGCAGGGCAGTATACAGGGAATCAGCAGAGGATGAGAGATCAGCAGGGAGGTGTACAAGGGGGCAGTGTACAGGTGGTCATTAGGGCAGGGGACAAGGGTCAGCAGGACAGAGGACAACAGTCAACAGAGCAGATAACAGGGGTCAGCAGGATGGAGAACAGGTGTTATCACCTGTGTGATATCAAGGTAGAAGACAGGGATCAGCAGGGCAGAGGAAGGGGGGGGTCAGAGGACAGTGGTCAGAAGGGCAGTGTACAGGGGACAGCAGGACAGAGGACAGGGATAAGCAGGACAGAGGAAAGGGGTCCACAGGGCAGGATACAGGGGGGAAGCAGGGTAGAGGACTGGGTTAGTAAGTCAGTGTATAGGGCTCAGCAGAGAAGAGTAATGGGTTTACTGATCACTTAGCAGAGCTCCTCCTCCCATCCCCACACTACACCCAGCCTGGGAACTCAGCTGACCTCTTCCCCCCCACACAGAACACAGATCAGATCGGATTCCCTTACAGACACAGTCTCAATCTGCATAGTGTGTGGATGGATACTGCAACTGTGCTGGCATTCAGATCTGGGAATCTGATGTTTGTTTTTTGATACTGACCCTTAGTTGTGTGCAGGGTCTACATTGGTATTCCCAGTAGTGCCAGGCAGGAGAAATGACAGCTGAAATCAATTAATCAGCAGTCAGTCAGCAATTTAATATTCAGACATTTTGGAATGGTGGACAAGTAGAAGATTCTTATACTGTCATGTAAGAGGGCAAGACCTTTGCTGATTGGCTGCTGTTCAAAACTTTTTGAATGGCTACAAGTTACAATGATGGAGTAAACTCACTGAACTGCTGTCAGGCTTCTGATTAATTGATTTATAGAACTGAGCCTGTGGACTAAATACAGGTACCCCAACAAGCCTGGTTAGATGGGGGGTAACTGGGGGAAGAGAAAGACCCAAAAGCAGGGACAGACAGAAGGAAGGGAGCACAGCTGTAGGCTGCATTCACGCTTGTGTGTTTTGTAGCTCGAAGCTCGAAAAATGCTCAAACTTAAAAAATCAATTGTTCTCTATGGTGCCTGTCCCTGTGATCAGGTGTGAACAGGCACTATAAAGAACAATTGATTTCTTGAGTTTGAGCTTTTTTCGAGCTCCGAGCTACAAAAAGCTCAAGTGTGAATGCAGCCTTACACACGTCACACAGAAGTTTAATTTTCAAGTGTTCCTCATTCCCCGACTGGTTCTGTGTGTACACATGTGGTAGGACATCCTCTGTTACTCTGGATGTGTGTGCATAGTACACACAAAGCAAGACATGCATTATACTCTGTCACTCTAGATCTGTGTGTACACATGTGGCAGGTTTTTTTACTGACCACATGATCTCTTAAAGGTTAATGTATGTGAGACTCTTATTTGCAGCATAGTAATTATGACACCCATTGTGGGTCCATGCTTTGCAGACTGTGTACAGTGTATACCTTAGGCTAGGTTCACACCTATACAGTTTGCATTTGATCCGTTTCTGCTGTGCGTTTTTGCACATGAGTATTTGACACATTGTTACTGCGTTTTTAATGCGTTTTGCATTTTTGTTTTGTTTTACTTGTTGCTAGGCAGATTAAAATGCAAAACGCATCAAAAACGCACTATAGGCTTTTCTGCAACATCTCCATTGAAGTCTATTAAACAAAAAATGAAACGTTTTGCATTTAAAAAAAGTCCCTGACCCTTTCCGAAAAAACGTGGAACCTGTCCCATAGGAAATCATGTTAAATGGACTGCTGTGCGTTTCTGCAAAACGTAGCGGAAAACGCATAGACTTTTGGAGGTTTAGACTAAATTTAACAATTCTCCTTTAAGCCAGGCCCAATATTCACCACAAATTAAGCCACGCTCGTTGCGGCACATTCTCTGTCCCAGGGTGTCCCTTATTCTTAAAGAGAACTTTGGTCCCCTTTTAAAAAGTTAAAATTAAGCAGCTACAAATACTGGGCAAGCGGATTAACTTCCCTTATTGTCGCCTAGGTGAGAAAAGTGGAAGTGGGAGCTGGCACATGACAGAAAAAGGTCCCCGCTTCCAGAGATAAAGAAAGTTTCCAAAAGTGATGGGGGGGGGGGGGGGGGGGGAGGGGAAGAGGATAAGCAGAAGTTTTACTCAGCTTTACAGTGGTACTAAACCCAAAAGCAAACATTTATTATATAGCAGCTTACTAATTCCTAGATGTGACAGCGGCATTCATTTTCTTTGCTAGGCTTTCTTTCCTTTAATTTCATCTGGTGATCTGGACAAACCATATACCACTGGCAGGTGTGCTTACAATGATCAGCTTTTATTAATTTATGTAAAACCTTTATCTCAAAAGGTAAAACCCTGTTTCAGTGACTCATTGGGGTTGATTTACTAAAGGCAAATAGGCTGTGCACCTCAAGTACACTCCAAGTGCTCTTGGAAGTGCACTGAAAGTGCAGTTGCTCTCGATTTTGAGGGGTACATGCAAGGGAAAAAAACAGCAATTTTACTTGCACATGATTGGATGAAAGAAATCAGCAGACTTTCACCTAATTTCAGAGCTTCCCTTTGGATCCAAAGCAACTTCACTTGCAGTGCACTTGAAGTGCACAGCCTATTTGCCTTTAGTAAATCAACCCCATTGTGTAACTGCAGTGTTCATTGGAGTTTGGCTTGAACTTGTTAGTCTGTTTTATATCTGTCAGTATACCTAACACCCCTCAAGCCCCCACACACCAAATTACAATGCTGCTGTCAGCTGTGCCCACATGCTCCTTCATCCAGAACCAAAGGCTGAAATCTGAACAAAGCGCATATTTCTATAGTGTTTACTTGCCTTTCTCCAAAGCACTAAGTATAATTTCTCTCTGCTGTCTCGTTTCTCTGTTATCAGAATGAGCCACTTCTGATGAGTTTTCCTGACACCTAGAGAGTGTGTAAGGATTCAGGAATACATTATGTACAGAGTGCAGGATTCAGAAGTACGTTTCATACAGAGTGCAGGATTCAGGAATGCATTATGTACAGAGTGCAGGATTCAGGAATGCGTTATGCCAGCCCTCAAAATTTCCACTCGCCCACTTGCCTTGGGCGAGTGGAAATAAGGTGGGGGGCGAGCAACGCCGGGACTAGGGGTGTGTGGGAGGGGCAGCGGTGGGGGTGGTGACAAGCAGTGATTTCCTGTATGACTTTCAATGAAGCAGCTGGAAGCCGCGGGAGGGAGAGGTTGGCTGGCGAGTAACTCTTAAGACCTGGCTAGTAGCTTTGAGCCCTGAATTATGCAGGATTCAGGAGTACATTTCATACAGAGTGCAGGATTCAGGAATGCTTTATGTACAGAGTGCAAGGAATAGATAGAGTATTGCGGGACAAAGCCCCTGCACTCCGGGACAAAGGTGAAAGTCCAGCCCATTCCGAGATTGCTGGGAGGCAGGGGCGGACTGACCATTTGGAAACTCGGGCACTGCCCGAGGACCCTGGGTCAGTAGGGGGCCCTATGAGATGCCCCTGGTACCTTTTTCATAGGCTTTTTTGAGTTTGGGCAAGGACTCAGGGGCCCCAAGATCCCCTATTGCCCGGGGGCCCCATGAGTTGTCAGTCTGCCCCTGCTGGGAGGTATGATAAATCTACTTAGATAGCGCCGCCTGCTGTTTTTTTTTTTGTTCTAACAGTGGAAGGCACAGCCTGTGATTGACAGCCTCAGCAGTGTTCCTGTGTGCTGTGTCTCTTCTCTCCAATCAGCTCTCAGAGCTCTTGTACAGTGCGTATCTGTAGTTCCCCGCCTTCTGCTTTGTGGGCCTTTAACAAATCATTTTCATCTCTGAGTTTTACAAGGATGTACAAGACAAATGGCTGCAAATAAACAGGTACAACGTATTTATGAGGAATTGATTCATCTGTGTGTATCACCTGAAGCCAGTCACTTCATTTGGTTTATGTAGGGGTTTAATGCACTTCAACTTAAAGCATGAAACTAAGTTGCATTAACACAGTACATATTGTGAATGGGCATTTAAAGAATACCTGGCAATCCTGCCATCCTTGCTTAGGCACTTTATGTTGAGGAATGACAACTGTCTCCCCACTGTTTCTGCATTGTCACCCGGTCACATGCGCCCCAGGGTAGGCAGTGTCGACACACATTATGCAGACATGGCCTACTGCTGTCACTATCAGGAAACTGTTCCAGAGCAATGATGTGTAACAGATGCTGCGGTGAGTGCATGTAGACAGAAATCGACTGAAGAGGAAATGATCTACACTCAGATGCAAAAAAAAGTACTACAATATTTTATCCATGATAAGGGTGCCTCAAAATATTCTCTGAAGTAATCCACTAAAAGACCACACAAAGAAGCATTGTCTGGGCTGCAGAGCTGCAGAGTTTAAGAGTATACCAAGCTGTCCAAAAAGCTGCAATGGTTGTATAGTTTCAGATTGTATGAACTCTGCTGCCTCCTGGTGGTAGGTTAAATATATGCACTCGTATCAAATTTTAAAAAATATTTTAATAAGGAATAATTTAACCACTTGCACTCCAGAGGATTTACCCCCCTTCCTGACCAGGGCATTTTTTGCGATACGGCGCTGCGTTACTTTAACTGACAATTATGCAGTCATGCAATGCTGCACCCAAATGAAATTTATGTCCTTTTATCCCACAAATAGAGCTTTTTTTTGGTGGTATTTAATCACCTGTGCATTTTTTTTTATTTTTTTGCGCTATAAAGAAAAAAAGACCAACGATTTTGAAACAAAAACAATATTCTTTACTTTTTGCTATAAAACATATCCAGTACAAAAATGTAAAACATCAAATTTCTTCATAAATTTAGGCCAAAATGTATTCTGCTATATGTCTTTGCTAAAAAAAATCGCAATACATGTAAATTAATTGGTTTACGTAAAGCTTATAGCGCCTACAAATGGTGGTGGTATATATACTGGAATTGTAATTTTTATTCTTTTTATACTAGTAAAAAACTGCCACTGACATCCCAATGACACTAATACAGTGATCAGTGCTAATAAAAAGCACTGACACTGTACTAATGACACTGGGCAGGAAGGGGTTAACATCTGAGGCAATCAAAGGGTTAACTGTGTGCTGTTTTACTATGTGTGCTGTGTGTGTTTTACTTGGGAAACATGCTGCTGTGTATTTCTGTGCTGTACAGAGAAATACACAGCAGCATGTTATTGCTGATAGGAGAGAGACCTGTGTTGTTTACAGACAGGTCTCTCCCCTGTCACTGTTTCTCGACGATCGCCAGGTGCCATCAGAGAATCTCCGTCTGGGACCTGGTGATTTACATCCGTAGCTGCCAATGGTGGCACGGGAAGGGCGGTACGCGCTCCCCCTACACGGCAATGCAAATCACGTATATATACACGACTTTGCACAGCCCTGCCGTCCTGTAGCAGTATTTCTGCAATAGGGCGGAGGGCAACTGGTTAAGATACGCCTCCTTAGAATGTTTCCATTAACTATTCAAATGCTAATACGAGGGCTGTTCAAGTCAGACCAGGACTTTTAATTTTACAGGTATTAAAAGGGATGCTAGTATGGCGGTACTACTCGCAGTAGTAAGTGGCAAGTGTGTCCTATTATTGATAAGCGGCACACATGTCGTGGGCCAGTCTAGAGACCGTAAATCAAGATGGCAGACAACAGTGTTAGTGCATGCATGGTACAGTGTGTGGTGATGAAGTTTCTTGTTAACAAAGCCATAAAACCTGTGTATATCTACAGAAGACTTTAAGCACAGTACAGTGATGAGACACTTAGCTGCTGTAAGACATCTGAATGGTGTAAGTGTTTCAAAGATGGCCATGCATCTGTCAGTGACGATCCCAGCCGTGGTGGTTCCCAGCCATTTCCCAGATGTAGTGGTCATGTAAAACAAAACAAGAAAAACCCATATGGTGCAGTACAAAACAGCTCCTTTATTCACTAAAATAGACAGCCATTTACAGACTCAAAGTAAGTAAAAAGCCCAAAGATGTTGCAATAGGTGTAAACACTGATGGGAACCAAGACAGTGCTCTCAACACCGCCAGATTCCCAGTCACTAGCGCTCCTGCGTCACTTCCGGTTCCGGTCACGTCACTTTTGGTCAGGGGCGGACTGACCATTCGAGGACTCAGGCACTGCCCGAGGGCCTGGGTCAGTAGGGGGCCCCATGAAATGCTCCTGGTACCTTTTATAGGCTTTTTTGGGTGTGCTTTGAGTGTGGGAAAGGACACCGGGGCCCCATGATCCCCTATTGCCCGGGGGCCCCATGAGTTGTCAGTCTGCTCCTGCTTCCGGTCACCGCACAGCCTCGTCCTGATGCATTTCGTCATATCCAACACTCATAGGATATGACAAAACGCGTCTGGGCAAGGCTGTGTGGTGACTGGAAGTGACGTGACTGAACAGGGGAAAGATCTGTATTGTTTAAATACAGGTCTCTCTCCCGTTGGAAATCCTCAGAGATTGCCGGGTGTCAGCGGGGAATCACTGGCTGGGACCCGGTGATGGACAGCCAAGGCAGCGAATGGCGACACGGGTAGGGCGCACGTGCCGCATGCGTGCCCCCTACTTTGAACTGCAAAATCACAAATAATTACATGATTTTGCGCACCCATGCCAACCTGTAGCAGTATTTCTGCTATAGAGCGACGTGGAAGCGGTTAATTCATTATGCTGCTAGCATTAGTAAATACAATAGGTAGTTACTAGGCCAATATGATGTCATACATCACAGGAGTCTTCATGGTATTTTTTTTTTCATCTGGTGGAGGGGCTTTCTCAGCTAAGCACCCCCTCCTGACTGCATGCCTAAGCTAAGGACAGATGGATTGCAGGAAGTAAATGTAACATGAATCAGCTACTCTTACTCAATATAGCCATGGCTAGAAATGCTGGGGGTGTTTTTCAAAGCGATTTATCAATAAAATAATGCATGGAGACATGGGTAGATGGGTGAATTTGCTTTGACTGGCTGCAAATCACTCGCCTAGCTACCTCTGTCACATCAGATGTGGCCTCTCTTTGCTGCTGATGAAGATAAGATGTATCTTCCCTGGGCATGTCCAGGAACCCAGGTAGTTATGGGAACAAATTCAAGTGGCTTGCACCTTCATCTGAGCCTAGTGAGTAAATGGGCTCTCTGCTGGGCATTATTGAAGTCTGAACCAACTCAATAAATATGTTTATGTATGACCTTGATGAAATGTAAGGCTTGATTTACACCTGAGCGGAGAGATTTGCTGCCATTTTTATTTGAGAGTTTTTTAGCATTTTTAGAAGAGTGTTACAAGCATTTTTGAAGTGTATTAGAAACGTTTTATGGCTTCAGGCATTTTTGTCTAGCCAATATGTAGTACTACCCCGTTAGGGGTTGCTGTTGAATTTTAGGTCCCCCTATAGCCCTGCACAGCCAAGTCAGTTAGCATTTTCCACACATCTTTCATCCACAGACAGAAATCAGGCCTTGAGCGTTGGATCTATTAATTTATTGAAGGGCTTAAACTTGGATAGGGTATAGGGGGGTATAGGATGCCCAAGGGAAATGCACTCTGAGGACAACTTCCTGAACTATTCACAGTTTCTTTTCTCTGTCACAGTGTCTGTTGGAGTGTTAGCCAGCTGCTCCAGTTGTACTACCCCAGACCCTAAATGAACTCCTCTTCACCCATCAATCTGAAGACTTTCTTCCTGAGCAGGGGTCTGGCTCCTGTTCCCTTAAATAAGGTGTGCAGTCACTAGCAGAGGCCTAATCTGGTTTCCCACCAGAGTGCTCCTTCCCCTATCCACCCAGAGGGTGCAGGTGTACTCACTCAGATCTGTACAGCTTGTGGAATGGCTGCTGCTACCATGCCTATCAGCTGAGCTGTTCCTTCCTTGCCACACAGGTGGTTTTCTCTCAGGTGACCACTGAGTCCTGAGGTTTTCTCCTTTCCAGCTCCAGGCTCGCAGGCAGCCCTATCCCAGCAGGCCTCCTGGAAGCCTTCTTCCTCCAGCCTCACATCTTCCTGACTCACACGCACTACACTCCAACTCCTGCCACTGAGCAGACACTAACACCTTTTAAGGGAGTCCAGCCCCTTGCCAAGCCTTCTGTTGGGGATTGGCTGAGGTCCCTAAAAGGTGCAGCCACTCCTCAGATCCACCCACTGCCTCCAACGCCCTCCTTTGAAAGCCTCAGAGGAGGAAATTCCAGAGGGGCTGGCCTGCAGAGACCCCTCTGGCTATCTCACCTGAGCTGCTAACCAGCTTCTTACTAATCATTAGGGATTTAGCTCCACTTAGTGTAACTAGGAGGGTGCTACAAATAGACAGCACTAGGGCGAGGGGGGGGGGGGGGGGGGGGGGGAATTAGAGGTAGAGAGCTGCTGTTTGAGCAGAAAATGTGGGACAAAAGCTAGTAAAATGTCACACATTTTAAGGCTTTTCCATTGAAGTCTATGGGGCCAAAAATGCTTGTAATCTGCCAAAAAGAAGCTCATGACAGGCATTTTGCTTCAGGCGACAGAATGCTCATATGTGAACAGAGGCTATTGAAATGAATGGGATTTGGCTCACTGAGCTTTTCAGAGCTACAAGCTTCAAGCAGAAAATCGCTCAAGTGTGAACGCAGCTTAAAGGTCTCAAGGAAACACTAATAACTAAACATGTTTTAGATAGGGAAGGTGCATTTTATTGCTCGTGATCTGTAATCATGTGGTTACTGTCAGCAAACACTGTTTATATTGCAAAGCATGACGTGATCCCTGCAGCAGTTATAAATACAAAATTGATGTGGATACACCCTCTGCAAACAGCTTGTTGACTATTACAAGAAGTATGTGAAGGGGGAAAATCTGTTTCTGAGTATATTGCGGTGTTATATTGAAAAGAAGTATGATGTTTGGCCATAAGCCTTAAGATCAGCAGGCTGCTTGAAGCTGAATTTTGATGAACACAATGGGTACCCCAAGCTACACATCTTACCATTCCTATTACGTTATCCCAAATCTGTATTTACTGCTTACAAGTAGTGGCCACAAATAACTATCAGGCCAATCAACACTTCTATTTATTAGCCCGCTGAGTGCTCACATATATTTACTATGCAGAATATATATATATTTTTTAATGTAATTGATGCCCACTGTCACTTTCCACTGCATGGACAAGGTGACAGTGTCTTTTTAAAGTTTACTCCAGCCAAAACATTTTCTAGTTTTGGACAGCTAGGGAAAGTGGTACTGGCAGACGCACATGGTATTAAACTTATCTTAGAGGGGGAATCTTTTAAACAAGATTTGCTACATTCCTCTCTAATAAATTGTAAGCTCTCAGGAGTAGGGCCCCCCTAATCATACTGTATTGTATTGTACTGTAATTGTACTGACTCCCTTTATAATGTAAAACACTGCACAAACTGTTGGCGGCATATAAATACTGTATAATAATAATAACAACAGTAATAATAATTCCTGCTTTTGACTGATTGCTACATATTTTTTTTTATTATTTTTATCATAAATGCTAAAAATGCTTCCTAAAATGCTTAGGTAGAACAGAATCCTAAATTCTATAGCATGGAACCTTGGAAATAAATGTGCTGGAACAAGTGTTTATTGTCTTAACCACTTACCCTCCTGAGGATTTACCCCCTTCCTGACCAGGCCATTTTTACAGCACTGCGTTACTTTAACTGGCAATTATGCGGTCATGCAATGCTGCACCCAAATTAAATTACGTCCTTTTTTCCCACACATGGAGCTTTCTTTCAGTGGTATTTGATCGCCTTTGTGTTTTTTATTTTTTGAGCTATAAACAAAAAAAGACCTACAATTTTGAGAAAAAAAAAACAATATTTTTGACTTTCTTCTATTATATATGATATACTATATATATATATATCATATATATAATATGTCCAGTAAAAAAAATTAAAAAAAATTAAATTTCGTCATAAATGTAGGCCCAAATGTATTCTGCTACGTCTTTGCTAAAAAAAAAAATCCCAATACGCACAAATTAATTGGTTTACGTGAAAGTTATAGCATTTACAAATGGTGGTATATATACTGGAATTTTTTTTTTTTACTAGTAATGGCGGCAATAAGCGACTTATAGTGGGACTTCGGTGGGCATTCTGACACTGGGGGGAACTGACTTGGTGTCACTGACATCCCCAGTGGCACCCATACAGTGATCAGTGTGTGCTGTTTCACTGTGTGTGGTGTGAGTGCTTTCCACTATGCAAAGCCATACAAAATAGTGTGCAGGAGCTGACGGGAGAGATCTGTGTTGTTTATACACAGGTCTCTCCCCCATCGGAGATACTCAGTGATCATCGGGTGCTGGCGAGAAATCATTGGCTGGGACCCGGTGATTGACAACTGAGGCCGCGAATGGTGGCGCGGGTAGGGTGTGCATGCCCCCTACCTGGAACTGCAAAATCACTTGTATATACGTGATTTTGTGCACCCGTGCCGCCCTGTAGCAGTATTTCTGCTAATAATATTAACCACTTGCCGACCGCGCATAGCCGAATGACGGCTTCACCGCGGCCGGCCAGTTCTGAGTGGACGTCATATGACGTCCTCCCAGAACGCGCTCTCCTGCGCGCCCCAGGGGGCGCGCACCCGGCGATCTCCGTGATCGCTGTGTCCTACGGACACAGCTGATCACGAGATGTGGTGAAAGGCCGATCCCACCGGCCTTTTACCACGTGATCAGCGGTGTCCAATGACACGCTGATCACAGGAAAATGCAAGTGCCGGTTCTCGGCTGCACTTTCCTCACGCTGTCAGATCGTGAGGAAAGTACTGCCGAGAACCGGCAGTTGTCAGAGCGGGGATCGGCACCGATCATCAGGGCACTGATGATCAGTGCCCTGATGATCGGTGCCCAGCAGTGACCCCCGCAAGTTCCGATCAGCTGTGCGCCCACTAGCCCCGCCCACCCATTCCCAGCAGTGCCCCCACCTGTGCCCTGCAGTGCCCCCACCTGTGCCCAGCAGTGCCCCCACCTGTGCCACTCTGCAGTGCCACCTACCTGTGCCCAGCAGTGCCACCTACATGTGCCCAGCAGTGCCACCCACCTGTGCCCACCCACCTGTGCCCACCAGTGCCACCCACCTGTGCCCACCAGTGCCACCCACCTGTGCCCACCCACCAGTGCTGTCCACCAGTGCCACCCACCAGTGCCACCCACCAGTGCTGCCAGTCAGTGCCACCAGTCAGTGCCCAGGGGTTGTGCCAGTCAGTGCCGCCAGTCAGTGCCCAGAAGTGATGCCAGTCAGT